TTTCATGTGTGCATGAACTGAGCAGCCTTCGAATGTGCAAAATGAGAAGGACAGTATGGAGCAAGGGGCTGTGAGATGCAACCCCATTCCGAATCCCCTCCCTCTCCTTCTCCCCCTCCTTCTCCCACTCCTCCTCCCGCTCCTCCTCCCGCTCCTCCCATTTCCTCCTCCTCCTGCTCCTCCTCCGCCAAACAACGTGACGAAGATCCCGCCATAGCCCCGCTCCCGCTCCTTCTCCCGCTCCTCCTCCCTCTCGTCCTCCCTCTCCTTCTCCCGCTCCCTGTTTTGCTTTTCCTCCCGCTCCTCCTGCTGCTCGTCCTCCTTCCGCTGCTTCTTTTGCTTTTCCCCCAGTTCGTCCTCCCCCTCCTCCCACCCCTCTTCCCGCGCCATAGCCTCGCTCCATCTCCTTCCCCGCTCCTTTTTCCACGCCTCCTCCCGCTCCTTCTCCCGCTCCTCCTCCCGCTCCTTCTCCCGCTCCTCCTCCTCCTCCTTCTCCTCCTCCGCCAAACAACGTGACAAACATCCCGCCATAGCCCCGCTCCCGCTCGTTCTCCTGTTGCTCCTCCCTCTCCTCCTCCTTCTCCTTCTCCCTCCTGTTGCTTCTCCTTGTCCCGCAGCTGCTTGCTCTTTCCCCCGTTCCTCCTCCCGCTCCTCCCGCTCGTCCTCGTGCTCCTCCCGCTTCTCCTCCTCCACCTATATCTCTTCCCCCTCTTCCGTCTCCCGCGCGTTCGTTAACCCCCTCCCCGTTTCCCCTCCCGCTCACCGCTCGTCCTACCGCCCGTCCTCCCGCGCCTCCTCCGCCCCTTCCCGTTTCTTCTCGTGCTCCTTCTCCCGCTCCTAATCCCCTCCCTGTTTCCCATGCCGCTCCTTCTTCTCCCACTCTCCCTCCTGTTGCTTCTCCTTCTCCCACTGCTTCCCCTGCTCTTTCCCCCGTTTCCTCCTCCCGCTCCTTCTCCCGCTCGTCCTTCTCTCGCTCTCCCACCTGCTGCTTATCCTTCTCCCGCTGCTTCCTCCTCTTTTCCCCGTTCCTCCTCCCACTTCTCCCGCTCGTCCTCGTGCTCCTCCCGCTTTTCCTCCTCGGCCTATATCTCCTCCCCCTCCTCCGCCTCCCGCGTGTTCGTTAACCCCCTCCCCGTTTCCCCTCGCGCTCCTCCTCCCGCTCCTTTTACCGCCCCTCCTCCCTCGCCTCCTCCACCCCTTCCCGTTTCTCCTCGTTCTCCTTCTCCCGTTCCTAACCCCCTCCCCATTTCCCTGGTCGCTCCTCCTTCTCCAACTCCTCCTCCCGCGGCTCCTCCGCCCCTTCGCATTTCCCCTCCCGCTCCTTCTCTCGCACCTGCTCCCGCTCCTCCTCCCACTCGTCCTTTTCCCGCTCCTTTTCCCATCCCTCCTTCCGCTCCTCCCGCTCCTCCTCCCGCCCCTCCTCCGCCACACACACACACACACACACACATACGCACACGTGTAGTAGGTATATTGCCATATCCTGGCGGAAGATTCATTTAATTTTGCTCATCTATCGATGCACGTAGCGTGAGGCCAGCCCAGGGGTTGAAGACTTACCTGTTTAGCGATGCGTATCT